AAAACACAAATCTTAACACACTTTGACAGTGTTAAAGATGTTCAGCAATGTAAACAAAATTTTTTTATTTGCTTTGCAGTAAAAGTAGATGGGGAAGCACTGACATGCAATATTTAGTGCTGTGATGATTTATGAAATATAAAAATAAAACACTGCAAAATGCATTTTTAAAGTCTCAGACTAAAGATGGTTTCATGCAAGTACGTTGCATTAATAAATGGATTTTTTCCCCTCCTGTAGAATCATGCATACTTCTCATTACCTGTCACAGATAAGAACAATAGACTGGTGTTCAGAATGTGAGTAAATCATATCCGGTGTTGGGAGCACTTTAGCTGGCTGTAAATGACCCTACCCTGCCCTGATCTAACTGCTCAATGCAATCTTTGCACCAGGTTCTGGCTATTTAGGGTAACCTAAGAAGGAAAAACGTCAACCACATAAATGTTCCTAATTGCTGGAAAGTTCTGTGCCACCTCAATAAGAACAGGTAAGGGAAGTTTTAAATACATGTTTGCTGCTGCAGTCTCTGCTTAGCACCATAAACCAAACATGCTATTTAATTCATTTTTAATATTCAAAGCAAACTTACCCATCTGTCCATGTCTCTATGTGTTTTCTTTGCTGAGAAATCACTTTGAAAAGCACCCCTTTGCATTTCTGGCCATGGCTATCTTGAGTAAGGGCAGATGAATTATGTAGCATTTACTTCCTGGAATTCATCTGCACTTAGCTTAGGCATGCAGGCAGGAGGGTGTGCTTAGCTAAGAAATTCCCTCCTCCCTCCTGAAGACTCCTGGGATGTATGACATAAATTGCCTAGGCATGGAAACCAGGGAAGGAACTGAAGAGCTGTAAAAAAAAAAAGTTTAAAAAACAACACTACCTGCCTGGAGTTTGCATGTTCTCCCTGAGCCTGCATAAGTTTCCTCCAGGTACTCCAGTTTTCTCCCACATTCCAAAGACATGCTGGTAGGTTTATTGAATCCTGTCTAAATTGGCCCTAGTATGTGTATGTATGAATGTGAGTTAGGGACCTTAGATTGTATGCTCCTTGAGGGTTAGGGACTGATGTGAATGTACAATATACAGTATGTAAAGTGCTGTGTAAATTGATGGCTCTATATAAAAACCTGTAATAAACAGATAAATAAAACAAGTACATATAATATACATTCTTATCTATTTACAAATACTAGCAGCATAAGGATTACAAATAGTCAATGTTCATTGAGAGAGTGACGTTCCACTTTAAGAAAGGACTGGCTTGGGAGCAGGCCCTGATTGGGACAAAAAAGGCCCGGACATTTTAGATTGAGCAGCCCATTTTTGTTTTAAACCAAAATTACAAATAATGACAACTACCATATTCTCAATGTATTTTAGGTATATTTAGCCTGCTTCATATGGGAATAGAAAACAGAATCTGGCTACTCACATTGTATCTCAGTTACCATAAAGGGTCAGCACCATGTTCTTCATTTTTGTTTTTTGTAGTATACACTATAGGATTGTAAAAGACCTGGGGTACCTTTAGGTGCCCAAAGGAGAGCAGAAATACTGCCCAGGCTCAAGGGTGCAGCTCAGATTTAGGCCCCATAAGGAAAATGTGGTCCACCAGGCAAAAAGCCAGACCCGGCCTGCTTGGGAGGCAAATACAACTAACTAGCCTTTCATGGTAGGGGCTGATTTCTGTGGGCTTAAGGAAGTGTACTATGCAAAGTGTGTCATGGTAATACAATAATTGCAGGCATTGTGAAAGTTGGAATTTTCTAAAAGATATGATTTAATTTTAAATATTTTAGCATCAGCTTCCTTTGTGGCTCTGGGCATTAGTCTCATGACATCTCAGAGCTGGTACTGGTAATGGAAACATGGTGTACTTGGAAAAATGCCATTCCAGGTTAGTCCACATTTGCCCATTGAAACCCAGTTGTTTGTCCAGCATGTAACTGGAAACTTGCATAAATATAATAAACAGAAGACAGAACAACAAAAAACCCGTGCAGCTTCCTTACTGAAACATGACACAACAGAATAAAAGACTTCTTACACATTTCACACAAACAGGCGCTTGATCTTAGAGTCACTCCTTGAATTCTAAACTGCCTTTTAATTCCATTATGCTCAAGCCCAACAGGGGAGTAATTACAAATCACTTACTAACGATCAAGGAAACAGGGGGTTTCATTTACTAAAGGCAAATAGGTTCTTCACTTTGCAAGGGTATTTTACCCATTGCTTCGTGAATGAGGTAAAGTTCCGCTGACTTTCATCATCCAACCGTGTGCAAGCCAAAACACTGTTTTTTTTTTTCCCTTGTATACAATTGGGTATTCTTTGTAAAGTAACATTTTACCACGTTCACTAAGCTCTAGGGAAAATCTCATTGCAAAGTGCACCTTGCATTGCAAAGATAACAGTCTATTTGCCTTTAGTAAATCAACCCCATGGCCTTGAACAATATACAAATAAAACTGAATACTGACTGTTCAAAAAAAAAAAAAAAAAAAAAAAAATAAAAAATACAAATACATCACACAAATTTCTTGAACTAACTGAAATGCATTATGAATGAAATGCATTAATTGTAAAAGCTAGAACAAAATTGCTACAGGCAGAAAATAACATTAATTTAGCTTAATCACACATGACCATAATAACACAATACCACGCATATGCATATGGTTTAACGAATGTGAGAATTTCATATACATAACAAAACCTTCCTCTTGCATAACTGAAATAGGGCTAAATAAAACTAAAGTAGTATACATAGGTATATATATATATATATATATATATATATATATATTTTTTTTCAGAGATTAGGTGCAGGAACTAAACTAAACCATACCCCTGCCACAGGCCCGACACCCCCCCACAGGGGAAGGCACACCACACCAAGGGGATGATGTGTCCAAATTGCAACGGTAGGAGGGCCATACAAAGGCATTGTACTTAGAGGCTGCAGGACTCAGGAGTGCACTACGTACAGGGTGCAAGACTCAGGAGTGCAATACCTAGAGGCTGCAGGAGTGCACTACATACAGGGTGCAGGACTCAGGAGTGTGCTACCTACAGTGTTCAGGACTCAAGAGTGTGCTGTGTACAGGGAGCAGGACTCAGGAATGCACTACCTACAGGGTGCAGGACTCAGAAGTGTGCTACATACAGGGTGCAAGACTCAGGAGTGTGCTATGTACAGGGTGCAGGACTCAGGAGTGCGCTACCTGGATGGTGCAGGACTCAGGAGTGCAATACATATAGGGTGCAGGACTCAGGAGTGTGCTATGTACAGGTTTCAGGACTCAGGAGTGCGCTACATACAGGGTGCAGGACTCAGGAGTGCGCTATGTACAGGTTTCAGGACTCAGGAGTGGGCTGTGTACAGGGTGCAAGACTCAGGAGTGCACTACCTAGAGGCTGCAGGACTCAGGAGTTCACTACATACAGGGTACAGGACTCAGGAGTGTGCTATGTACAGGTTTTAGGACTAAGGAGTGGGCTGCGTACCGGGTGCAAGACTCAGGAGTGTGCTACCTATGGGGTGCAGAACTCAGGTTTCAGGACTCAGGAGTGGGCTGTGTACTGGGTGCAGGCCTAAGGAGTGCACTACATACAGGGTACAGGACTCAGGAGTGTGCTAAGTACAGGTTTCAGTATGTACAGGTTTCAGGACTAAGGAGTGGGCTATTTACGGGTTTCAGGACTCAGGAGTGGGCTGCGTACCGGGTGCAGGACTCAGGAGTGTGCTACATATGGGGTGCAGAACTCAGGAGTGCACTACATACAGGTTACAGGACTCAGGAGTGTGCTGTGTACAGGTTTCAGGACTCAGGAGTGTGCTATGTACAGGTTTCAGGAATCAGGAGTGGGCTGCGTACAGGCTGCAGGACTCAGGAGTGCACTATATACAGGGTGCAAGGCTCAGGAGTGCGTTATATACAGGGTGCAAGGCTCAGGAGTGCGCTATATACAGGGTGCAAGGCTCAGGAGTGCACTACATACAGGATTCAGGTGTGATTTCTCAACCAAATCCTCTCTTGCCTACCTAGAGTAGCAGACAGAGGAAAGAGGGGCTGCTGGCAAAAAGCAGCTTCTACATAAAGTTACAGAGCGTGTGGGCTTGAGGAGTAGGCTTTAGCAGAAGCTGTCGCTGGCACATTAGAGAGGCGATGCACATTCCCCCCTTCCCCCCCTCCTCTGCTCTCATACCTATAGTGCAGGGAAGGGAGAACTGTGTGTGCATTGCTGGGAGAGGAGCCTGTTATCTGTACACACAGAGGTTCGCAGGGGTGGGCTGACAACTCATGGGGCCCCCGTGCAATAGGGGATCATGGGGCCCCTGTGTCTTTGCCCAAACTCAAAAAAGCCTATGAAAAAGGTACCAGGGGCATATCATGGGGCCCCCTACTGACCCCGGGCCCTCGCGCAGTGCCTGAGTTTCCAAATGGTCAGTCCACCCCTGGAGGTGGGGTTTCTGTGTATAGATGTGGCACATTCTGGCCGAAAAAAAAGCTATATACACAGTATTTTTCAGCCCATTCAAATGAATAGGCTGCAAAACCAGATCACACAGGAACGCACTGGAAATGCATAGGATTGCATGCATTCCAGTGTGAACCAGTCCTAAAGGTGGTGAAAACCAGGGAAGTGAGACACCATAATATAATAAACATCTCTAAACTAAAATCGGACCTGTTGGATGTGCACACACACAAAAACTGTGAATATGCAACAAATGTTAGGTATTGCCATGTAGACTGGAGTGTCCACCACCATTTAGGGCCACCTGTCACGATCGCAAGATCGCTGCCACCAACATGCGACAATCCCACGATCGCGACGTCCAATATGTCACGATCGCGGCTTTAGACCCCAGACCTTCTCACCCAAACTCGTGACCGAAGGACTAGCCAATCTAAAACCGCAGGGTGACGTGTGTAACAATGCCACACCCAGCTGCACCCTGCACAACGATTTTCCAGCAAATGGATCACAGATCGATGTACCGGCAGCCTGAGCGATTGTTACTGGGTCAGGTTAATTACGCAATTAGCCCTTCACACTGCCACCACCTCTTTTGTCAAAGAAAGAGGAAACTCTGCGATCTCAGCTAAAACACTATAATGATTGAGATAATCGTCCTGTGGTTACTTGTTATATGCGCATTTGGATTGCATATCTGGTGAGTGCGCAATCTTTACACACCTATCACCTTACCCACGGATCCAGCCACTGGATTTTGAAGATCAATTGGGATCTTGCGTGCACTTATATGTTGGACTTTGTTGTGTGGAACACTCTTTCACGATATTAGTCACCATTGAGTGACATCTGTTACTGCGCTTATGTCACATATTTATTGTTAATGGTGATTGTAGATGTTTAAGCAAGAACATTTTGATATATAATTATTTAGCGCTGCACCTTATTTTACTCTATCACTTGGAAGGTTTTATATGGTACCTTGCGGTGTACAGCTGCTGATTTTACCTTTAGCGCTCTCACTTATTTTGCTGTTTATTAGAGCTATAGAAACAGTTCAACACTTTCAGAAAGAAAGATTTATTACTAAAAGGTCAAGCGGGTGTAATAAAAATATTTACAGAAACAAGATGTAATTAAGATATATATACACATATACAAAGAACCACAGCACATCAAAGAGATATCAGAGAGAGGTGAAAGGGTTAAGGTACTTGCCAAAGTCCTGGGTTTAACAGTTCCAAGTTTCAGAGCAAGAGGACACGTGTCTCCCCAGGTGGTATTGATGTTATCAAATGGGAGACTTCTTCAACTTCCTTCTCTTAGGCCTGACAGCCTGTTTTAAAGTGCCCAGCAGGGGGTGTCTCTGATGCCAGGGACCAATACCTCGTGTAGGCATGGAGGTCTGGGTGTCGACCTAAACTAGAGCCAAAATCTTGTCTAGTTCATATTTGGGCTCATAACTTTTCCTATGCACAAGTGACATCCCACCCGCGGGTAGATTATTATGCAGACAAGTCTGAGGATTGATTAGATATGAATTATGAAAGTGTAGGCTAAACGGTTCACGTGATCTATATTTATGCTTTCCTGTGTATGCGAGACAAGTCGAGTGACCCATCAAACTGTTCGGCTCCTCCTAGCCAATCTGACGTATGTCTGGTTTTTATGTAAGTCTCTCATATTCCAAGATATAAGACTTAGGGGAAAAATGGATTTTGAGGAGTGTTATCTGATTCTGTCACCTACACTGAGTTAGGCTCATTAGGTCAGAATCCCTTTCAACTCCTGAGAGAGCTTGCTTTATCTCTTCCAAGGTGATAAATAGCACAGGTTCTCCCAGACAGCCAGGCACCTAGCTCAGAGATGCCTTGGCCTGCCAGTGACCCACAACCAGCACACACACGCACACGCTGGCCAACTGTCTCCTCTCAGAGAGGGGAGGGGGAGGGAAGAATAAGGGAGAAATGGATACTCTTAACAAAATGGAGTCGGCATCCTTCACTGTGTGTTGCGCACGTTTGCAACACCACCATCTAATGTTAAATCTAAACTTAAAGGCTGTAAAGGCTCTTAAAACGTCATGGACAATTATGGATACTGTATTTTTTTTGCCATTTCTTGAGTACATGCAAATTTGAGGACTGCAATATTTGGTATCTCTTTATATGACACAACCTCATCTTTTATATTTTATGAAAAAAATAAATGGGTAGCATATTGTGTGATTGCGTACACAAAAATGTAGCATGTTTTTACTGAAAATATAGATTGGACAAAAAATGTCACAAATATTGTAGGCATAAAAAATTGCAACTGCCAGCATTTCTTTTCTACAAGGTCTCTGCTTTCAGAAAATGTATAATGGTTTGTGATTCTCAACAAAATACTAAAAATGAACATTTTATTTATGATTACATTCAATTGTCCAATTACTTTTAGTACCTTGAAAAAGGGGGGATGACTACTCTTAAGAGCTGTAATTCCTAAACCCTTCCTCCAATTTGGATGTACATACCCTCAAATTAAACATGAGTGTGCACTTTCAGCCCATATCCATTATATAACTAAAGCTTGAATATGTTTTGGTAAATACCTGAAAACACTAAAATTGTGCCTGTGTCCAAATATATATGGACCTAACTGTATATATATATATATATATTTACACACAGACAGACATACCGCTAACACTGAGTCTTAGCCAACTTAAAGAAGAACTTAGTTGCAAACTACACAGCTACAATAAAATGAAAATATAATACAAATACAGGACATTTTGTTCAACCTGTGCAAATGCTTCTGATAGTCATGGGGCAAATGTTTAAAAATAGACCAGTTTGTGTTATAATGTGTCTCTCTTTCCCTTCATAGAAAGTTGGGAGGAATTGTAATAATGTTGATGTATTGCCCAGCAGGCAGGCAGAAGGTGGAGATATGACAGGCAACATGCCTGATTGTGCAGAATAGCAAATGTGTGTAAAGTACAAAACAGAAATGCCCGTAGCGAATAGGGAAGAATGGAAATAGCGCAGGGCATACATGACTAGGCCCAGAGTGGTGTGGGGAACGGAAAGGGTTAAAATTTAGCTCCAAGGGGTGGGGAATTGATTGGGAATTACGGGATTGGCAGATGTGGAGTGTAGGAGGGGTCTGTGGCACCGTAGGGTGGGGGTTGCTGTGGAAGGGGCGTCAGTGGAGCTGGATGTGTGCAAGGACCAGAGCTTCATGTGAGCTTGGTCCTGAAATTCCCCCTCCTATCTGACCTGCGGCATGGAGGCCCTTGTGGCACAGGTGCGGGTGGCAGCAGAAGACCGAGGTATGGACTGGTTGCAGGGCCGGGTCTCTGATCTGTTGGGAGACCCGGGCTTGTCACCAGCAGCGGGGGGGCGGGTGCGCCCACGTGCTCGGAGGTCTAGGCCTCCGGAGCGCTTCAGTCCGGCCCCGCCCCCTGGAGCTCAGCGCCGCAATGGGAGCCCCCCTCGGGACCCTCCGGCCCCGCTGGCAGGGAGCTCACTGGCCTCTGCTAGCGGCGGTGCCGGGAGGAATCCCCGGCGATGGCGGAGCTCGGCGGGCGGGGTTTCGCCGAGTGGCCCCTCCCCCCCGCCCGCACGGAGAGGAAGACGTGGAGTTAGCTCGGCGGGTGGGGTTTCACGGGGTAGCCCCTCCCCCCCGCCCGCACGGCGTGGAGGCAGGAGAGAGAGTGTCATTACCGGCTCCTCCGCTGACATAGTACCTGTCAGGGAGGGAGCTCGGCGCGGGAGGCGGTCAGCTGCGGCTGCTGGGCTGTCCCCTGATACGGCTGGTGGGCCCGCTGGACAGTCGGGAGCTGGGGCTCCCAGAAGACGGAGGAAGAGGTGTTGCGCTGGGCGAGTGCAGCTGGGAGTGCTGCAGGACGGAGCCCAGGGCCGGCGACAGGCATGGCTGGTGCCCAGAGGCGGAGTCGGGAGCGGCACAACCCTGCGGGACCCGTGGCTCCTGGGACCGGGAGGCCATCCGGACGTCGAGCGGTGGACGAGAGGTCGGAGGGCGAGCTGTCGGAACCCGATGCGGGGGCGACGGCTCGCCATTCTTCATCGATGGAGCGGGAGAGCGCGCGGCTGATGGGGCATCTCCTGGGCAGCATGGTGAGTTATCTGTTCCTGTCTCTGTCTCCCTTTCTTCTGCGTTGCGGGATCTGCTGGGGGGTGGTCAGGCCGCCCCGGTGGGTGCGGCCTCGGAGGCGTTCGTTGGGGGCGTTCCCCTGTCCGGTTTTGGTGGGGGTCTTGGGAGGTACTTTCCGGTTTGCGGGACTTGTTGCGGCGGCTGGAGTGGGGCGGTGTTGGGACCCCTGGGCCTGTTTCTGCGTGGCTCCCGCCGGCCGGTGGGGACGGGCTCGCGGTTCCGGGACAGGACAGCGGGGTAGTGCGGGGCCTGGGGGTCTCTTCTCCGCTTAGTTCTGGGCCTGGGGTGGTTGCCGCGGAGTCTGGGGTTATGGGCTCTGCGGTTCCTTCCGCGGTTTTGGGGGAGAGGGTTCGGGGGTGTCCGGACCTGGCGCCGTGGCGGACTCTGCGAAGGGGGAAGTGTATGTGTGTTTTGAGGGCCCCTTGGGTGCGCATTTGCAGTCGGCCGTGCGGGAACAGATTTGGAACGGGGAGTATGTGGACATATTCAAGCTCTTGCCTTTGGAGCGTTTTCCGTTTGATGGGTCCCGGGTTGATGACGGTAGACGGGAGAGTGTCATTGGGGGCGTTTTCGAAAGCTCCGGAGCATTCATGCTCGGCGTTGTTCTGTTACCTGGATGCCATTAGTGAGGCTCACAGGGTTTACGGCGGGTCTGCGTGGCTTCGGTATGATGAGCAGTTTAGGCAGCGGAGGGCTGTTCGCCGTCGTTGCGTTGGGACCATAAGGACATTGGTCTCTGGATGCGGCTCATGGCGCCGCCGAGGGCCCCTGGTCCGTTTTTTTTCAGGGCGGGGCCGGTGGTTCGTTTTCCCCGGGACAATTGGGCCGCCAAGCGTAGGGGTTTCTGCTGGCAGTTCCAGGAGGGCACTTGTCGTTTTGGAGGGTCCTGCCGGTTTAGGCACGAGTGTTCCGGTGCGGTGGATCCCACCCTTTCTCGCGCTGTTTCAGGCGGGGTAGAGGCCCTCCTGGAGAGCCTGCGGGTAAGAGGGACGACGCCGGTGCGGGTGGAAAGGATGGGGCCTTTCTTAAATAGATATCCTGATCGGGCTGCGGCGGTCCTGCTGGCGGCAGGTTTTTCGGAGGGTTTTCGCATCCCCTGTACTTTGACTTTGGTCCCCCCCTTAGCTCGGAATTTACGGTCGGCCTTGCAGCATGCTGAGGTGGTTTCGGCTAAGTTGCGGAAGGAAGTGGGGTTAGGTCGTATGGGTGGTCCGTTTCCTGGGGCTCCGTTTGCGGATCTGGTAGTTTCTCCCTTTGGGTTGTGCCTAAGAAAGAGCCGAATGCGTTTCGGTTGATTCACCACCTGTCCTTCCCTAAGGGGGGGTCGGTGAATGACGCTTTAGATCCGGAGTCGTGTTCGGTATCTTACACGTCCTTTGATGCGGCAGTTTTCTGGGTTCGTCGGTATGGGCGCGGTGCACTCATGGCAAAGTCCGACATTGAGTCGGCGTTCCGGCTGTTGCCGGTTCATCCGGACAGTTTTCGTTTTTTGGGTTGCCGTTGGCAGGGCGCGTTTTACGTTGATAGGTGTTTGCCCATGGGGTGTTCTATCTCTTGTGCATTGTTTGAAAAGTTCAGTTCGTTCGTGGAGTGGGTGGTTCGGGATGTTTCGGGGGTGAATTCGGTCATCCATTATTTGGATGATTTTCTTTGCGTGGGTCCGCCGGCTTCCGGGTGTGCGCGGTTTTGCTTTTTCTACGTTGCAGCATGTTGCTGACGTTTCGGGATTCCTTTGGCGGCTGACAAGACGGAGGGTCCGGCTTCGGTGATGACTTTCTTGGGCATCGTTTTGGATTCTGGCGCAATGGAGTGCCGGCTGCCTGCGGAGAAGCTGTTGGCCCTTCAGGGTGAAATTCGTGCGGTTCAGGGGAAGCGTAAAATTCAGCTGCGGCCCTTGCAGTCATTGTTGGGAAAACTTAATTTCGCTTGTCGGATCCTGCCGATGGGTCGGGTGTTCTGCCGCCGGTTGGCG